CTTAGGTCTAGCTTCATATAGAAGGTTGCCTTGGAAAGACTATCAAACAAATTGGCAAGTTTGCAATAGGGTACTTGTTCTTGATTTTCAACTTGTTCAAGGCCTGATAGTCGATGCACATTCGCACAAACCATGTTGCTTCTTTTGGAATAGAACCAAGGCTCCATATGGCTACTTGGACGACTCCATACTACTAGAATCTAGCAACTCGTTCAACTACTTTCTTAATTATGTCAATTCCATTAGCGACATCTGATAAAGGGCACAAGCTGGAGGCTTTGCACCAAGCTCTAGCTTGATCTTATGGTCAATTGCGCGTTTGGGCAGAAGACTTTTGGGGAGTTCTAGAGGCATGACATTAGCAAATTCCCCAAAAACATCTTTCATTGCATCAGGCACTTCAACTAGCACATCTTATTTGATCTCCACCAAAGCTGCGAGGTATGTCATATCGCCCTTCCGTAGTCTAGCTTTCACTTGTATAGCAAACAACATCTCTATCTTTTGTTTTCCTTCTTTCTTCCTTTGGTCTGCCATCACTATAGGCACAAAGCATGGTGTTTTTTCATCCGAAATCAACACCCCATTCAAATGTGGCATCAATGCTACCTTCGCCTTGATAAAGAATTCATTCCCGAAGATGACATCAAAGTCATCCAAGGGCACAACCATCAAGCTCACATGGCCTTCCCATAAACCCAACTTTAGGCGTATTTCTGTTGTGTCAACCACCAACATTTCTTCAAAATTTACTACCTTGAGCTTGCTAGCATTCTTTGTCAATTATAGGCCAAAATTTCCTACTTCCTTCTAGGAAATGAAGTTATGGGTGGCTTCCGTATACACCATGGCCAAGACTTCCTTGTCATTCACTGAGACATGTACAAACATAAGGCCTTTGCTGGGTTGTTGTACTTTTCCTATAGTGATTGCGTTCAACAACTATAGAGGATTAACTCGAGTGGGGTATGCATCATCACTGTCATCCCCATTTGCAGCAACAAGGGCACTCAACTCCTCTTGCTTGGGGGTAGTCCTTGACGCGATGGGGGCCATCACAAAGAAAGAATCTAGAATCAAATTTTTTCTTCTTCCGGTTGTTGTCTGGCTTTTTAGAGTTAGCAACGTTCTTCTTTTTCTTCCAATATGTCTTCTTTGCGTCTTTGGAGGTGCTAGCTTTATCTTTCTTGTCGCCACCATCCTTCTTTTTCTTTTTCAGAAGGACCTTGATTGCTACCCATTTTGAAGTCAACTAGGTTATCTGCAGCAATGATGGCAGTGGGCAAATCACGCACCCCTACCTATGCAATTTAGTCTGTACCCAGCCTTGTAACCTGGATATGAAATTGAAGAGTTTATCCTCCTCGTACATGTTCTTGATATCCAGTATTAACGAACTAAACTCTTTCACATAATCATGAAAATTTTCATTGTGCTTCAATTTCTTAAGCAAATCCCTGGCAATCCAGATCATTTTGCTAGGTAGGAATTAATCCTTCAACTATTTCTTCAATGTATCCCATGTCTCAATTTTGGCACGTCCCACAAATGATGCATCATCCTCATTCTAGGTTCGCCACCAAAGCTTGGCGTCAGCAAAAATGTACATGCTAGTTATGGTCACCTTTTCTCCAGCAAACACATAAGCAGCTTTGAAGTACTGCTCCATGTCCCATAGAAATTTTTCCAGATCCTTGGCACTTTGAGTGCCTCCAAAGGCCTTAGGTTCAGGGACTTTATTTTTGAAGACATCTCGCCCACAGTAGGTCGAGTATTCATGGCCCCCTTCACTAGGGACAAATTGTCTTTAAGATCCTTCATGTTGGTTTTGACAGCTTCAGTGAGGGACATAATGTCCTCCATCATCGTTGCAAGCTTTGCATCGTTGTTGGCCATGTAGCTATCAAAGTTCATCCTTAAACCGACAATCTAAACAATGTACTGCTCCATCTGCACAGCCATGCTGGTTGTAGCATCACTTTCAAGTGCGTCCAAAACATCCTTGAGACGATTCACACATTCACGTAATTCAGCAGCATTTTCACCAGCCATGATAAAAAAAATTGTAGCTCTGATACCAACTGTCACGAGGGTCAATTTTCATTCTAATTTTTGCCTCGTGATGGCACTGAAATCCCACACTCAGTCTCAACCAATGCACTCAAACGCTCACAAAAATACACACCCGAGCATAAAGTAGGCAAGCGCACAAACTCACAGTAACACATAAGCATTATAGGCCAATTGGCTAAACATTTTTCTTTCTCAACAAAATCTAAAGGAAACTTAGCTAGGGTTCTTCTTACAAACGTGTCCAACTCTTTTGGTTGCGCTACAAACCCTAGCATACCTATTTAGCGTAGAAAGTGGCGGTTACAAGCCCAATCACCTAGACAATGCAAAGCAACATCAGATTCACCCACAAAGCCTGATGACCATGGCTAAGACCTTCAGCCACACCCCCAGTGTGCTGGTCATGGTAAAGGCAGTTGCAACTGTTGGCTGGGTCAGCCAACAATTGCTCATAACTTCTCTGCATGCTGTGTGCACATGTATAGAACCACAATGCATGTTGTGCACATGCTAGCTATTGCACATAACTGCCCTATATGTCATGCACATGCTAGCAATCATCTGGAACCGCCACCATCTGTAATGCACGTGCCTCAACATCCTCACATGTTGTACATGTGCCTTTTTCCACAAGCCTACAACCTTACTTAGCCTTGCCTTTGTGTCAATCCATGCCCAGCTTATGCCTTAGTCTTTCATGATAGCAATGCCCCACAAAATCAAGTCATCTGGCTAGCCTTGCTTACTTGCTTACTTGCTTGTGCCAAACGTCTCCATGCATGAGTTACCTTCGTTAGATGCATAGGACTTCAATTAACCCACTGATCATGCCCAACATGCCCATGCATGAGCTGTCTTCCCCAGCCATGCATGGGGCTTCTACCAACGACAGGTCCCTCCGATCATCAACCCCATATCTCAAGTCTAGAACTTTGGAATGCCTTGCCTCACCCATGGCAAGGATCTGTTAAGGCCATGTCTTGCTTTGGTGTGAAAAGGCTTAGGGGCATAAGGGTCCTTAGAGAGGCTGGCATGGTACCCTTTTCACAAAACACCCCCAATAATAGCATTAGTGAGCAAAAATACATTGACAGTAATGGATATACTCTGAGCTGAGGAGTCATAATAATTTGAGTCAGGGGTATAGTCGTTGTATACCACTTGAACCTTTGTCGAACCACTTTGTTACTCAACCAAGTAAACATTCAAGTCTTTAGGAAGCCAACTTTGTACTAAGGGTTTTACTTCACCAAGTATAGCCCAATGTGGCTAAGGCATGAATTCCATTGGGCGAGGCGACATAACAATATAGGTAACTTTGTCATTGTTAGATCTTGATCGAACATATTCAAAGAAATCACAATGGACTCCCATGAATTAGGAAGACTATGTAAAATAGTAGAAACTCACATTTTATCAGGATTTGAGTTGCCTAAAGATGTCAACTCTTATTACCACAAGTTAATTGATTTGTTCAACAACAGACTCATCCTCTTTCATAAAAGTATCATCATATTTTTCAATCAAAAGTTGAATATATATATATATATGTTAGAAGCAGTACCATAGACTTGTGTTATAGCATCAAACATAGACTTAGTGGTTTCATATTCCTAAAAAATAACCTCGAAATCGGGTTCCATAAAAGTGAGCAAGATTGACCTTGCCAATTTTTCGTTCTCCATGAATATTTCATAGGTGTTTCTAGCAGCGTCTCCGGCCCTAAGAGTGGTTCTTTCGGGTATGGTGTGTTAATGGCATATTCAACTTTATCTTGAAATAATTTATAACGAATTCTACGTCTCCAAGTTGAATATTTGTACTATTAAGTCTCTCAGTTTTTCTAAGTTCTACCCTCGCAACCTTTGACCCCATATAGAAAAATAAATTACTAGATAAAATTGATTAGAACTGATCCGATTTAATTTTATTACCAATATGTGGTACCAAGAGTACTTCAAGTGGACTGGTACACCAATTGCTTAAATATGTAATAGTCACGATCTAGTTTTAATAGCTCAATCTCGCAATACAACGAAAGATTTTTGGAAAACCACCATCAACCTTCTATGTGATTTGATGCCGAAAGATTGAACAACGTAATAAACGTGGTTGTTTCTGTCAAAGACATTGAAGAACCACCAACAGCAATAGAGAAACAAGAATTGAGCTTTGTTCTTTGGACTTAAAAGAACATGCACAATAAATGGCAGATTGGAGGACCAAAATAAATTTCTTTGTTTCGTAGAACGTGATGGCAAAAGGTGGGAGAGAAAACAAGAATAAAATAAAAGAATTAGAGATTCTTATCCGCTCGGTGCTCTGATACTAGTGTAGAAAATTTGTGGAAGGGAACTTGATAAATTTGATAAATAAGGAGCTAACCTTTGAGAATTAAAAACTCTTTTTGATATAAAAGTTGTAGAGTTGGAATTTCTTCTCAATGGGTTTTATCTAAAATTGAGTATTTTCTAGTGTAATGGAGGATATATCAGCTAGCCGTTTAATTAGTCATTATTACTCACCATAATATTCTCAACTCCACCAATATTCTCTCAACTCTCTACTGTCAAATAAGACTAAAAATACTCCAAGTATGATTGAATAGTCTTTCACTACTTGATGAGTCCCTCTATACTGATTAGAATATATTCAATCCAAATATCCAATTATATCAATATAATATATATTTATGCATACATCATTATAAAATAATATTTATTACATAATAATTTCACAAAAAATGCATAATAATATAAGTCATGAATACTGTAATATTTAAGCAACGAATTGAGATTTTATATATTCCGAATTTGACTATCAACCATAGCCTAATTAATATCAAAAGATTTTAGTCACATATTCCAAACCAATGTATAAAACAAACACATTTTATTTTTCTCATAACAATACATATGTAGTATTTATTAAAAGATTGAGTGAGGGCCACAGGTAACTCCGGCCCTGGCAGAGTCTTCCAAGGTGGCATCAAGCCACTTTGAATTCTAAAGAAGAGAATGACATAGAAGGTTAGCTTTCACCAGTCTTGGGAAAGCTTATTCGGTTGCTACCCAATTTTATGTTGCAGCTAAATTAGTATGCATTATATATACTTAAAGTTAGATTTAAGATTTGTTATTCATATCAATGCATTTTGTATCACTTTTGGTCTACGACAAAGAATATAAGTGTTAGTAGTCAACATTTTTTTTGGTTTGTCCGCAATTGGAAGCTGACATTATGCAGTGGATTTCACATTTTTAATGAAGATTTGCAGAATAAATGATAATCAACAAGCACGGGGGAGCTTTGTCGCGTGAGAATGTAAATAAATTGAAGATGTCCTCCCCACAATGATGTATCTTGTGTTGTTCAATGAATGGATATCGCTATTTCTCAACAACAAAAAAATGGCCAACACCAAAAAAACAAAAATAGCATAGCAATTTATACACTTATTTACAAATATATATGTTCTTAATGTACATCAACTGACCTCACAAATCCAACTTCTTTCTTCATCCTAACAACGAGGTGATAAGAAAAATCTACGAAAACAAGTGTTAAAAGAAATATTTTATATTTAAAATAGTCTTTTGCATGTGTGCATCAACAAATTTTATAGGAGAACAACATTATATGGACTTAATTTATTCAAGTATATAGTTGGTTGATCTAATCCATTAATGCCCTTGAATTGGAATTAGGCCCCAACCAATTATTAAGTTCGCTTTTGGTTTAACTATAATGGATGATTAGATCACTAAATTAAATTTGCAATTAAGTCAATTAATTAGGTTCAAATAGAATTGCTTAAATTTAACTTGTGATGAACTCGATGCATACACAAAAAACGACAACAAAAGCTTCTTTCTTTCAATTTCTCATATTCATTTCCTAAATTAGGTCCACGGCGAATAATGGTTAAACCTTTCGTCTAGATCTATTCTTGCTCAGGGAGCCACCCAACAACGATGTTTGAGACGATAACGACGAGGATGATGAACATACTGATATCGAATTAGAATACGGTACGTCAACTATGATCTCCAATTCAGAAACCTCATTACCCATATCAATCTCACTGAAACTCATCGCTAATGAGTCTCCACAATCTCTATCATTCGTTCTCAAATCATGCACTGTTGAATTAGCATCGACAATCTTATTATCACATACAACTTGAGCTTGACACATTGGACAATCTGAATGAGAATTCAGCCACATATCGATGCATTCTACGTGAAATGAACGGCCACCTCTAGGTAGTTTTCTACCCATTTCTTCGTCTTCAAATCCAGTTAAACATGTAACGCATTCCAATCCATGTTTTTTATTATCATTAGCTTTGAATACGAATAAGGGTATCATAGAAATGAACAAATATTCAAGACCATATGTCATAGAATTGGCAAAAATGGTACGATCAACGGTGAAGTTATGGAAGTGATGAAAACGACAACCCAATAGGGGTGGTAATGAAACAGAATTGCGGTTTCTATCAGGAGTTTGGCTGGCTAAGAACCAACTGACATAGACTTGTAGCAGTAAAACAAGAAAAAGTATAAGAAACACTGATATGATTGAGGCGATCATGATGTTGCTGTTTCTCTGAACTAGATCAGTGGCAGGGTTCGAGATTTGTTTGGGTGTTTTTGGTGGTGGAGAGAAACATTAAGTAGTAGTTAGTGCCGATGGTAGTAAACAAAAGAGTGATTTGATACGTGAGTTTCTGGGAAGGTAGGGTGAAGGGTTTGTAAGGCCCTATGACCGTGAGTGTTTGTTGAACACAATGCCAATAAGAATAGAAACTGCCAAGTATTTCTCTTATTTTGTAATTCACTGCTGAGTTTAGGGTCAAAAGAGAAGCCCTTTATTGTAGGAAGAATAATGTAATTCCCTTTAAAAACTTTGAATTAATTTATTAATTTAATAATATGACAGTGATATAGTGTAATAATATTATTGTAATCTTTAAACTTTTTGATTATAAATCTTTCATTTTAACATATCATCCTATTAATAAATTAGAGCAGCCTTACATTTCAAGGCATTTATTTGGTGATACTGAAATAAAGGCCTCGTGAAAGCGACGGCAAGGACAGGTTAATGTGGATACGTAAAGAGTTCATTTGGTAGACGTATTATGAGGGGATTAAATATTAAATTGTATTATTTTTTATTTAATCGGATCTAATACTTTGTTTGGTAAGTAAATTTGATACCGTATTAATTTCAAAAATATATACTTATCGTATCCTTATCGTATATTTTTTATACGTTAGACCTATATTATGAAGGTATTTTAATATCACCAAAAGAAGTGGTATTATAATCCAACTCAAACGTATTATTTTGTACATTTACCATTATAACTCTCTAACTGATAAAATTAAACTGTCATCAATGTAACAAACACTGATTGAGGGTATTTTTATTAATTCAACATTAATACGATAAAATAATTTTTTAACCAAACAACCGATTGGATTAAATAACTACTATTCAACGTTTATGTTGTGTATTACTAAACACTAGATAAAATTGTGTATTATTCTAATACTTTATTTAGTCTTGTCTATTGTCCTTCTGTATTGTATTAGACCAGATTATTTTATCTAATCCATCTATTTCTAATACGGCAACCAAACGAGCCCAAAAAATAAAGGAAATAGATTATTGTATATTGTTGTTGTACAATATGCATTAAATAATTTAAAAGTTTATAAGCACATCTTGTTCTTGAGTACATTTCGCAATTTTTAGTATATGTGTAACTTGATCAAGTTAATCCAAACTCGACGTAAACCTAATCCTAAAAAATAAGGTTTGGGTTCAATTTTTTAAATTTTGGATTAAAATTCGGCTCAAAAACTTTAATCCGAATTGAATTCGGACCATATTCAAGTTGAAGTTTTGGATTCATGGGTTTAAGTCGAACCCAACTCAAATTATTAAAATTTGGCTTAACTCGAATCCACAATTCGGTTCATCCCAAAATGTTAAAATATATATATATAGACAACTAGTAAGTGTATTTTAAGTTTTTATTAAATTTATTTTTAATTTAAACTGATCAAACTATTGTGTCATACATGAAATTGAGTCCGAATTAATAGCCTAATTTGAACTTGAATTAGTTAACTCAAAATTTTCTTGGGCAATCCTTGAGTTGAAAGACGGGTTTAAGTGGGATTAGGATTAAAAATTTTACAACTTGAATTGTGCTTGGGTTGATCTTTTAATCCGCCTAACCCGAGTGAGTTTTACCTCTAATTATTAAAATGGATACAATAACATCTCTAAGTTTGCTAACAAAAAGAAAAAAGGAAATTTGTTAATGAGGAAAAAGAAAATATTTAACAAAAGTAAATGAACCGGATCTGTCTAAGATCCGCCCGAAGTTATACACGTTGGCAGATGTCTCTAGGGATTCACTATAAAACCGAAGCGAAGCTCCGTACGATCTTTCACTTCCCAATCTCCTCATTCCGCATTGTTCTTGGATCAAAAAAAGGTTCGTGAAGAGGAAGTGAAAGTTTTGTCAGTCCGTAGCGATGAGAGCGAAGGTAAGAAGCTGAGCTCTGTACATATAACAACTTATGTGATCTTTATGCTTCGATTTATCTTTTTTTACGGTTGGATTTTTCAGTGGAAGAAGAAACGCATGAGAAGGCTGAAGAGGAAGCGCCGAAAGATGAGACAGAGATCGAAGTGACGAAGTTTTAGCTCGCTCGATGATCTTGTCTCTCGGTGTGGCGTTCCCCCTCTCTCTGTCTGGATTATGTTTTTTTTTTTTTTTTTTTTTTTAATTCTTAAGTTTATGCATGTAAATGCATTAAGCAATTTGTGGTGGCAATGTTTTGATGCATTTGATACTATTGTTTATATAGGTTTCTTGTTGAACTACGCATATCCACTTTGAGGTGTTTTGATGAATTTACAGGATTACTGCAAGTGTTGGTTTCTGATGTTCTGTTTTTGGATTCAACTGGATGGATATATTTGGATTTTAGTGCATGAACAACAGGAAACGTGATGTACCTGTTAGGTTCTTTTGGACTGATAGTCTGCGGAATTGATTCATAGAATTCAAAGAGTGGCTGCGGAATTGATTCATAGTACTCAAAGAGTGGGTTAGTCTTTCTTGGCCTTACTTTAGGTATTGAACTCTTTGAGGGTTACATTTACCGAATGACTAGAAAGTAGAGACTCTGTTTATACTTGAGTTGAATGATTCTAGGCCTAACATTTACTCTAGATCAAAGTTGTTAGTATCGTACGATACGCGATACGTATCGTACGATACGTTACGATACAGCCCTAAAACGATACGGATCGTAGTTATGTATCGTTTTTGCGTTGTATCGTCCGATACACGATACGTTTTTACGATACGATACGTATCGGTACGATACGCACGATACGTGCAATTTTTTTTTTTTTTTTTTTTTTTTTTAAAAACGACGTCGTTTTGTGCTCTGATTTTTTTTTTAAAAAAACGACAAGTGAAGACTTGTTGGCATCCGATCACAATGATGATGATGATGATGCATTTTCAATTGAAATTGAAGATTGAGTTCAAAATGGATGTTAGAAATTTGGATTAGAAGTCTCTTTGGTGTTTAAAGTTTGAATTAGTGAACTATGGTTGTGAACTTTGCATTATAATAGTAGTGGATTATGTTGATAACTTGAATAGTTGGTGGAGTATTAATGAAATGCTATATTTTTTATGAGTGTATGACTTTATTTCAAAGGTATATATATTTTTTTATTATTTATTTAAAATTGCATCGTATCTTACGATACACGATATGATACACGATACGATACAATATTTGTATCTTACGATACGCCTTCCGATACACGATTTGATAACTATGCTCTAGATACAGATCCTGTCCATTGTCTACAAACATTTAACCAAGGAAGAATCTAGTTGTGCAATAGATCAAAGAAAATTTCAACTTAGTGTCTAACATTACTCATAATGAGTTTATATGTGAAATTGGATGTGGTTTGCAATATGCCATGGAAGACAACCTATTGCATTCCAGCCACCCCATTTCAGTTTTTAGCTGACCTTTTACTAACTTTTCACCAGTTGCTTTACAACTTTGTTTGCTAGAATAGAACTACGTGCCTGCATGCATTACTTTACAAATTATGCATACTATTTCTTTGAAACCAGGACACACCATTCACATAACCGGATTATATTTCTTACACATTGTTACAATTAACTGTATGCGTTGATGCATATTTAACAATCTGTTGTACCTTTGCTTATTTGTTGGTGACAACTTTTGTTTTGGTTTGTGCATGTTATCAACTTAACCGTCAATGCTTTTATAGAGCTCTGCAGCATACCACCTACCTGACCGATTACCATTGTGTCCAGCATCCATGCCCATGGGATATGGAACTGCATACTCTTACTTGTACCTTCTGTCATCATTTCAACATTCGTAACACCTCACTCCAATCTGCATAGATGGGACTTGCACATATTATTAATGTATACAACCAGTTATATTAGCTAATAGAAACCTGATGTATACATGCTCACCTGTCTTCCTTGCTTGCATCTTTCTTAGAGACTGGCTGAATAGCCATCTTTGGTTGTCCTCGAATGGTGAAACTTCAGATTCAAGGCTCTTCAGGTCCTGGTACCTGCACGCCTCTTCACACAATGCATCTAGTTCTCTCTCTGGTCACTCTGGGAAATGCTTCAGTACAGCTTTATTATCAACCAAGAATATATGTAAATGCTGCTGTCTCCACCTCCCTTATCAAGTAATTGATAAATTCCTCATATGTTTTCTCATCAGACTTTATCTAATCGTAAGAGTCATGTATCAGCGGGGTATGTGTTGGGATGGGTAAGTATATAATAACAGTACAAATCATTTACCCAGAAAAAACAGTACATAATTAATTATTTTTACATCCAGAATAAAAGTCAACCAGTTCTCGAATAATTTTGATCTCTCCCTTGGGGTGATGGTGTTGGTGTTGGTGTTGGTGCTGGTTGAAATTATTTCCACTTGTGCTCTTGGCTGATGAGGAATTAGGCTATGGCGACAGTTTTGGTACTCTTGTCAGTCTTTCCTTTTTGGCCGTAAACTTCACAAGGTCTTTCCTCTGGGACGGCTTTTCTAATGTTGGAATTTGTTCTGGCAGTTCAACTAGAATTGATGGCAGCAACTTGAATATACAGTAGTTTTCCGAAAGGTATGGTTTGGGCGTTTCCAACTCTGCTTGTGTTAGTTTCATGATTCCCTTTTACCCTTCAATTTTTAGTGGTTGTCTATGTGAGATATATTTTGCATGTGCTGGCTACGTCCAGGGTTGTAGCTGTCCTGTCCCAAGGTAGTCATGGTATGCCACTTAATTCTTTATCAAATTTAGTATCAGGTGTCATCAACCTACAGTGTGGTATTTCTTCTATTTTTACACACTGGGTATGAAGCATGGGTGCAGCACTCTTATCTTCCAATGTGAAACTTCTCTTTCGATACCCAAGTGCGCAAGTGTCGGTCACTTGCACAGACTTGAATGTTGACTTCATTAGCTCCCACCTGTTTTTATTTGAGACCTATTAGGTAGATGTCGTTCAGGTTAATGGATTTTTGTTGTTTTGTAATCCATCTCAGCATGTTCGGCTGATTCGTCATGCACCCGCAAGTTCAGCCCAAGCCATGGTTGTATTTGAACACTCGTTTCACCATGAACAATGCGGGTACCAAATGACTTTAAGACTTTCTCATGGCCAATTGAGTAACTATATGTAACTCTTAGAATACAAAGGATAAATGATATTCCACTTCATGAGAAATTGATGCATGAATTGAGAGTAGATGTTAATCTTATTAAATATTGGGACGTACTATTAACAGTGTTTACATACTTTAATTACGATCAAGTAACATTACCCTTTCTCAAATCATTTGAACCAAGTATGCAAGATTTGCAACCAGTCAGTTCTCGATAAATTTTGTCTCTAGCTCTTTTAAAGAAAGAATAAAGAGCCATTTGGTTCACATGGCAATGGACTGGGTGGATTCATGAGTTGAGAACCGGAAAAATAGTTTTGGGCCCACGTTTAATTCATCTATAAGCATGAAAGATTAAACATTAGGTTTAAGTCTATTTTTCATTCAAATGTCCAAATTACCTCCCCGAACTCTCACTGATGCCAAAAAATAATAACATTTAAAATAAAAAATAGTAACATATTAAAACCAATAACTGTTAACATTTAAAACCAAATAAACATTAACATTTAAAATAATAATAACATGAAAAAATAACATAAACACAATGGAGACCAAAAAAAATAACATTTAAATTAAAAAAAAAACAGTAATACTGAACACAATAGGGACTTAAATAGTAACTTCAACAAGATGGTGACCCAAAAACAACATTTAAAACAAATTGATGTTACTATGTGAATGTTACATAATTTTAGTGTCAGTGAATGTGTTGCACTATTTTCCCTTTCTCACTTTCTGGTTCTCTCTCCAGATCCCAATAGATTCTTTGGCCATTGTTGCTAGAAATGGCCACGTAAGCTCATTCTAGCATCTCGTCAAACGCTTAAAACTCTTACCAAACTGAAGTAAACTTTTTAATTTAAACCAATCTGCAACACAAAATACAACCAAAAAAAAATCCAATATAAACAAGCAAGAATTGATTCAAATTACCATTCAAAAAAAAATATTCAAAACACAATGATAACATCATATTTGTATAAAAAAACCATGGTAACAATAGCACAAAAGCCCCCCAAAATTTTCAAAGAAAACGACGAACAGGAAGGTTGTCTGATAGCGTTAACTCCCATTTAATGTAAAATATTTTGGAGAAATCTGAGTAAAAGTATACTCTCAGACAGGCATTTTACCGAACAGGTGTCAAACATAAACCAAATTGTACATAATTACACTAAATATTCGAACAGTAAAAAGAAAGGAAAAATGAACATAAATTTGGAAGTAAATTTACTGCATTATGAAAAATCTTTTATGTTTCATCTTTTCGAAGAGTCATCGGATTCATTCGAACATGAATAGCCATGCATACTTGCATGAGCTGCAACAATGAATCTTTTAAGGCAAACTCGCACTTGGATTAGGACTCAACGAGCAGATGTATTCTCTCTCTCTCTCTCTCTCTCTCTCTCTCTCTCTCCAGGCTGATCTGTGTATTATAATTGTAATTAGAACAGGGGAAGGGAAGGGGGAGCTTTGGTAAGAGGATGAACAAAACTCATACCCTCTGTATTAGGTGTGGCCGTCGTGGCATCTTTCACATTCAGAAGGTTAAAACAATAATTTTTTAAAAAAAAAAAAAAGCTGTGTAGTTAAAACACATAAAAATTATCGTATACTTAAAGCCAAATAAGTTTAAAACTTACACATAATATTAGACTGACCTTCAATTTTCTGTATTAACAATGGCATGATTTTTACTGTTGGGGCTAGTATATAAGAGTGTAAATTTCATTCATCTCTAATCTTCATGGATTTTCGAGAACATTTTGGTCCAAAAAAAATACAAATCCTGAACTTGTCATCATCTTCTCGGGCCAGCATTCCCTGCCACCACCGGAAAGCCAACCAACAACGAAGTTCAGGATTAAATGACCAACACAGCAGAGGAAAGCATCGGCCATCACACCATCGCACACAGCAGGATTAAAAGTTAAAACCACACATCACACCACCACCACCACCACCACAAAAAATCATGGTTGGACCAACACCACCATACACTCAGTTCTAATCCTAAACAAAAACAACACCATTGCTCCATCAATATGAAAAATCCAAAACACCACCCAACTCCGAAAACGACCACAATTGAGACCTCCATTTCACGCCCCACCGACCAACACGAAAACCCACCCCTCTATCACAATAATCCTACACCTACGCCACTGACCACCACAATGACTGGAACAACCCTCTTCCAGCCACCCCCATTTCCCCACAATTGGCAATGACCAATTCAGCCATGTCCATCTCCAGCAATCCAACCAATTTAATCAAAACTGAATTGGACACAAGGTATTAAAGTAAAAAATAATGGTATCATAAGGTATTAAAATAAAAAATAGTGGCATCATAAGGTATTAAAATAAAAAATAATGGCATCATAAGGTATTAAAAAACCGAGAACAATGCGCAGCTAGTAGCCACAGATATGCATCATCTGAATTTCGGTCAACTTTAGACAAACGAACTCGCACAGGATTCAACCATCTCATCAGAATTAGACGTCATCTCATCACTCACTCTGATCAGGTTAGATGATAAAATTCTGATGGCTAATTCTTGTCGAATGGTTGTTTTGGATGAACTGAAGACCAAATTCAGATTTTCTGAAGTTGTCAGCAACATGGACTGACCTTCGATGATAAATGATGCACCATGAAAGAGCTTTGCTATCACCACCAGAACATGTATTGTGATAACAGTAATTCAAGTCATACTAACGTCAGCACTAGTATCGATTCTACTCATAATAATAAGGGGAAAAAACTAAGAAACCATCAATCAAGAATTATATCCCAAGAAAAACTTTTGTTTGTGACATTGTGTTTTTGCTGCACAGCACCATCATAACTCAACAAGCAACTTACACCAGGTCAACAATAGTATGGGGAAAATGCCTAGTTATATGCACTCACAGTACTGGAACCAGAACAACATAGACCCTTGACACAAAAAGAGGACCCAAACAGACCAAATATGGGCAGACATGGACAACAGGACCAACAAAACCATACCATTTCCACCAACAAACCAAACAGATGGCACTTTGTCCAGACTGAAGTAAGATGAATGGCTGGCAAACTAAGTGAGATAATTAATCTTATCAAGTTGAAAGGGCAGAGTATAGGTATGTTTCTACCTTAGGTGGAGGAAACAGACTCCTCATCATTCTTTTCAGTATCTTCTTTTCCAGACTCCTTGTCAGATTCCTTTGCTTCCTTGGCTACGGGCGCCTCGTCCTTGTGCTTCTCTTCAGTTTGTTTATCTTCAACACTCAGGTTCTCAAGTAGCCCAGCAGTAGCAGATGCATCCTTGTTTTCCTCATTCTTATTTTGGGATTCAGCAACCTCTTGAACCATTTCCATGAAGGTTTTGCAATCTGAAAAATGAGAGAGGGAGATTAGGACCCTTTTTTGTGCTGCCCACTTCAGACACACAAAGTACATAATGAATAAAAAATGATCCCAGAGATGTGCAGTGTCATCATGAACCCGATCTCAATGTAACACACTGTTTTGCAGCACAAAAAAACCCACAAAGCTCTAGATTTCCCCCCTTCATTCTCCTGGTTTTTTTTTCTTTTTTTTCTTTTTTTTGCACAAGAGAAAGTAAAAAAAAAAAAGGGGGGGAAATATGCATCGAATGAAGCTATAACTCGATATATTTTCCAATGAAATTCCCAGGTGACATACATGCTTCAAGTTGCAACCTCTTTTGACATTAGTGGAACAATAAAACAATAAATTATGCAAAGCGTTGATTTTCTCCCAGCTTTTACATGCATATGAACAAAATGACACATCCAAATCCTTTCAATATCATATTTTGTCAAGTCGCACAAGTTCAGTCACCACCATTAACAGTTCAAAAAACCAGTAACCCACCATTAACCATGACGCTTGACCAGTGGATGGTTATGGGTCCCACTATCCGTGGATTATTGAAGTTGATTAGATTTGAGAAAATTTGAAATCAAAAGGATCCAAAACACATAATGGCCATTGCCTAGTTTTGAGACTTTTGTCACACACTCGAGTAAAAATGTAAGCTTTAGCAAAATTCGCATCAAAGCCCCAAGAGGTGGGTTGTTGTTGATGGTTGTAGTTTGGTTTTGGATGTTGAGGGCCTATCATATAAGATAGACAAACCATGATTCAAGGTCGCGGTATCGGTGATGCTAAACATGACAAGAGATTTAAATCATATTACAGCGTCACGGACCCGTATCGACAGATTCGATGAATTTTAACAAGTTAGATATGATTAACATTTAATTACATCAAATAATTACTTAATTTCATCATATGATTATACAACTTGGATCGGATCACAATCAAATCGGATATTAATATATCAAAATCTAAATCATTCAATATTATATAATAATTCGGATTTTGATGTATAGACTGCTTACAATAGCACCAGTAAGATAAACAGATGTGATAGCTATTGTACAACAATCAACAGAGTAAAAGAAGGTCAAAAATAACTTTAACAGAAAGGATGACACTTAGTAGAACACAATGACGAAATATGATTCATGTAGGCTTCATTGAGTGAAGTTGGGTTTTATACGACAAATCAGATTCATTATCTTTTACAATTCTCAAGACCACGCTAACGAGCAATGTTATGCCACATCACTACACCAACATAAGGCATGTTCAAAAATCTATAGATTACAAAAATATTGCAGAACTACCTGGAAAAAAATAGTCATCCATAAAGACATATATGTCAAAAAATAAATAAATAAAGATCCACTGTAAGATATATGGGAAAAAATGTTAACTATTCCACCTTTCCATTCAAGTTATTTCACCTGAACCAGGCCAAGAGAACAGTTGCACATGACAGCATATACTTCTTTCTTGTACATACCATAACTGATTATCATGCAAGCACCAAGGTTTTACATCACATATCATTTCCAAAATATCATGTACAAAATCTCTTTTCTGCAAAATCCAGATGGCATTTTGACGTTCCAACTTCCAAATGGTATGCACATATAAGTGATATAAATACCAACAATATGCACACATCCAGATATAACTGGAAACCTTTACCATTTAACTCGAGCAATTTGGCACTAAAAGATCATTTTGTTTAGTTTTCTTTCCTTTTCTTGTTAACACATTACATCACAGAAGATCAAGACCCTAGTACTTAGATCCTTCCGCAGTCTTTAAGAAAGCAATTAAGTTAAATTGAACAACACGCAATCTACATACAATCAACACGAATGTTTAGTTCAATATAGTAGTGAAGATATTTTCCAAAGTATACTTACTCTCAACTGATCCGAATCTAATGCAGAACAGTTCATTCTTCAGTTCACCATCAGCGAAGTCAGCCGCATGCCACACACAAGACTTTTCATTCCCAGCGTGTTCCTGAACCGACATAGTAGGAAGAACTGCAAATTACAGTCAAAAAAGGCATCCCAAATATTAATATCACACCAAACAAGTGCTATTAGATCATATGGAGCAAAAGAAGTATTGAAAACAGACCAAGATGGTTTGCACAGATCTTGAGAGTTTTGGATTGGCGCATAACGAGACGAACTTTGTCAGTTTCCTTGTGCTTCAAGAGCTTCACAGTACCAGCACCTCTCTCCTTCCATTGATTTCCTTCTTTATCGAATCGATAGAGCTTTGCTTTCCTGCGGAGCAACAGAAACGAAATCATTGAGAAATAAAACCTAGATTTTCACCATATCGAGACGAAATTGATCTCAGGCTAGAAAAGAGGAGGAGTAAGATTACAGATCGAGAATTGCATCTTCGTCTTCTTCACCGCTGCTCACAGAGACCTCTTCGAGCTTGACGATTGGGGCGACCTGTGCTCCGGTGTCTTCATCTTCGGCTCCAGCGGTTTCTTCCTCTTCTCTGTGCTCAGGATCTGTGCTCGCCATGGTGAAGAAAGATGAGAGAGAGTGTGGACTCAATATAAGAGAGAAAGCACTTGTGAAAGGCTGAAATTAGGGAGCGGAGAACGGTGCGAGGGTTGGAGGGCTTTTATAGGAGAGTGAGGAAAAAGTAGTAGTGAGCGAAGTGAGTTGGGAAAAGGAGGCGTGAGTTAAGTGAACCGCCTGAGTGGACGAATGGAAGGGTTTTTAAATACGATTTCGACTGTTTGGTTCTCTGGTCATTGTTGTCTTATTCCGGAATAAGACTATTCCACTTATTGTTGTGGATCGTAGGTGGGACAAGGCCCTTTCTTTTGGACTCGAGGCCCATGGATGCCCCCCACCCCCCCAAGTGGTAAAGTTGAAAACCTTTGCCAAGTTCAAGGAATTTCTCAAGGGTATAACTAGGCCCATTTAAGACATTACAAGACGCCTGATGGTGCAATCGGGATACAAAAATCATCCTAATTGTTAATGTATATAATGATAATATATTTGTTTCACTTTAGTTAGATTATAAAATTTTAAGATTTTTTTGTATTTTAAATAAACCTCCTCACGTATATTATAGATTACACTAAAGTAATATATAATTCATGTTCGCTTTCTATTCTCTTCTTTCACATGATATCAGAGCCTAGGCTCGTAAATCTTTTGTGCTAAGGCTAATATGCTCTGTGGATATCCTCCACATCAAAACTCTTGAGGCTCTTCTACTTTTGGTTGTCCTCTGAGATAATATGTTGTGTGGTTGTCTTGTGAGGGATTCTCCACATCAGAACACTCGAGACTTCTCTTTTGGTCGATCTCTGGTGACTTTCTAGTAGTCCTCCAACAACATTCCAATCACCTTGCAATCATCATTTGTGTGACATTCCAATCTGCCCCACGTCCTTCCTTTGACTACATTTCGATCAGCTCTCTGATCGACCTTCGGTGACCTTCTAGTCGTTCACTGACTATCCAGATCTCACTATGGCACTATTTAATGTTTTCCAGCCAATTTTCATCACTCTTGATGGCTCCAACTACATCATTTTGGGCTCAATTTATGACTAGTTTTCTCAAAGGTCGTAAACTCTAGTGTTATGTTAATAGTGATATCAAGGAACCGATTCAATTTGCGGCGAAATAGGCTAAAAAATACGCAAATCGTCTTAAAGAATGAGAAAGCAAGAACCATCAAATTATCACCTGGTTTCAGAACACCTCAACACCATCCAGAAAACGACTGCCACATCCATTTAGGACTTCCTCAGCAAACTCTACACGACTTATTCATCAGTATCAACCTCTTAGTACTCTTTACAGCTTGCGCCAAGATCCTATTAGTCAATCAATAGATTTGTATCACATATATACACTATTTGGGATCAATTGACACCATCTGAGCCTAAATGGAAATATATTGATGATGATGTGAAGTTTACTACTTATCGTGATCAGCAACATTTGATTATGTTCTTCATGACTCTCACCAATACTTTTGAGCCCATTCAAGCATCTCTTCGCCATCGCAATCCTTTACCTACTTTGGAACAAGCTATCTCTGAACTGTTTTCTAAGGAAACCCATCTTGGCACTGTCCAATCACAACATCCAGACATTGTTCTTACCAGTCATCATCCTCGAGGCAATTAGTTTCACTACTCATATTGTCATAAAATTGTTCATGCTCTATTCAATTGTCCTACTCGAATTTGCAAGTTCTATCACAAAATGAGCCCAGGTCACTATCAGAGTAACTGTCCCCAAAATCCAAACTCTAATGAACCCAAGCATGACAGATCTCACACCAACCAACACAGATCTAGCAATTAGTCTAGAGACAAGTCTATGCATGTTTTTCACTATGTTGTTCTTACTGTCGATGACTCTTGTCCTCTAGAGTCGCCCTCTTTGTCTCTTTCAGTGCTAGTGATCTTGAGGTTATCCTCAAACAAGTTCTTTCTAGATCTAGTAATATGCCTCCTACTACTTTGTATGTCACTTTAGGTATATCATCTTGGTTTTTTGACTCTACATGTTATAACCACATGACCCATGATGGATCATTATTTTCTTCCACAAAATCTATTGGTTTTGTCCTTCCCATTCACATTGCATATGACTCACTTATGCATGTCAAACACTTTGGCAATGTCTTTACATCCCATGTTTCACTTCTCTATACTTATCACATAACTAACCTTACTCTCAATCGCATATCTGTGGGCCAACTTTGTAGCCTCAGACTCACTGTTTTGTTCTCTTCTACTAGTTGCATTGTGTCTAATCCAAAGATAGGATTGATCCTTGATCCTTGGGATACACCGTAAGCATGAATGTTTGTTCGAGCTAATCCATATTCATTTTCCAAAATAGCTATCTTCCTTAGTTCTATCTATAGTTACTGCTTTCGCTGCGACCAATTCTCCTGTCAGTCTTTGGCATTCTTGTCTAGGTCAGGTTTTGTTAATTCGTCTACAATATTTAATTTCTACTGGTCAATTAGGGGCATGTTCATAGTGAACAACTTGATTCTTTCTCTTGTAAACTTGAAAAACAACCAACTGTACCTTTCAATAGCACTAACTCTTTCTCTTCTGCCCCTTTTAATTTGGTTCATTCTGATATTTTGGGACTATCTTCAACTGTTACTATGGGAGGGTCAAAGTACTTTGTCATTTTTATTGATGACTATTCTCGCTTCATTTGGATTTATCTTTTGAAAATTCAATCTCAGTTGCCACAAATTTATTGTAATTTTGTCAAAATGGTCCAAACTCAATTCTCTCGATCCATTAAAATCTTTAGATCTAATAAAGCCATGGAATATAGAGACACCACCTTCCTTAAATCTCTCAGTCAACATAGCACCATTCATCATCGTTCTTATCCTAACACATCTCAACAAAATGAACGAGCTAAGGGAAAACATCATCATATTCTTGATACTATTAGTGTTCTTCACATCTCCTCTTATATCTTGAGCATTTTTGGGGTGAAACTACTCTGACCTCCGTCTATACCATCAATCACATTCTCTCACTTATTATTGGGCATCAATCTCCATATGAGAGGTTGTATGGCACTTCCCCTGATTACCATTCTCTTTGCATCTTTGGTCGTGCATGTTTTGTCTTTCTACAACCTCATGGGCATACCGAATTGAACCCTCAGCATGTCTTTGTTGTTTCTTGGGTTATGGGATTGAACATAATGGTTATCGTTGTTGGAATCCATATTCTAGACATCTTCGTATTTCTCGTCATGTCGTCTTCTAGGAACATGAGATGTTCTCCTCCTTGTCTTATTTTCAGTTGTTGTCTGCCCCTATTTCTCCTCTCTTTATTGATCAATTTATGGATCTATATCTTGATGACCCACATCCAGTCTCATTTGAGCTCCCATCTATAGGCCATCCGAAGGTTATTGTCCTACCTACTAATCCTACTCTTGCTCCTACTCCTACTCTTGCCCCACTTCATACTGATAGTGATCTTGCCTTAACTCCTAAACATCCTACACCACTTCTTATTGATACTTATTCTCATGTTCATCAGTAATTTCATTACACTCAGGTAAGGAACATTCCTAGTCAATTTTATAATTAACATTGTTTCTCCACTAGTCTATCTTACCATGAGCCTTACTCTTATCATGAGGCTAGCTCCGATCCTCATTGGCGGCAAGTAATGACAGAAGAATTGAAGACACTAGCTGACACACATACTTGAGATTTGGTTGATTTTCCTCCTAGAAAAATTGTTATTTGTTGTAAATGGGTTTATAAGATCAAAACTCGCTTATATAGTTATATTGAACATTACAAGGATTCTCTAGTGGCTAAAGGCTTTACATAGGAGTATGATATTGATTATGAAGAGACTTTTGCTTCCATTTCTTGTCTCAGTTCAGTTCAAAGCCTAATAACTATTACTGCCGCTCGTTAGTGGAAATTATATAAGAAAGATGTCAAAAATTCATTTCTCAATGGTGAACTTATTGAGAAAGTCTAAATGTAGCCTGCTCTTGGGAATTGTCATTCTCCACTTCAGGTTTGTCGACTTCGTCATGCACTCTATGGCCCCATGCAAGCCCCTAAAGCCTGGTTTGGAAAGTTTAGTACTACCATTGGAGATTTTGATTTTTCTTTCAGCGTGACTCGACTCTCTTTGTTCGTAAGTCTGAGTGTGACACTACTCTTCTCTATGTGGATGAAATGATTATTACAAGGGATGATGTTTCTGGTATTTTTTATCTCAAATATTTTGTCAACACACACTTTGAGATGAAAGATCTTGGTTCTCTCAGCTACTTCTTAGCCCTTGAAATTTTGTCTAACTTTAGTGGGTATTATCTCTCTTAGGCTAAATATGTTTCATATCTTTTTACTCGTGCTAGACTCATTGATTACAAGATTGTACCTACCTCATTAGAGCAAAATGTTGAACTTATTCCCTTAGATGTCACACCTCTCTCTGTTGCCATTTTTTGTCGCCAGTTGGTAGGCAGTCTTGTGTATCTCACTGTTACTTGCCCATATATATTCTATAATGTTCATCTCGTCAACCAATTTTTGATTGCCCATCACTCTACTCATTATGTTGTTGTTTTTCGTATTCTATGATATATTAAGGGTACTATGTTTCATAGTCTTCATTACTCTACTCATTCATCTATCAAGCTACGCGCCTATTTTGAGGTTGATTGGCGAGAAATCCTACTATCGTCGTTCTATCACTAGTTAATTTTTCTTTCTGGGCGACCCTCTCATCTCTTAGCGTTGTAAGAAACAATCTGTTATCTCTCGATCCAACACAAAGGCAGAGTATCGTGTTCTTGCTGACACTACCGAATAGCTTCTTTGGCTTTGTTGGCTTTTAGAAGATTTAGGTGTCTCTCATTTTTGTGCTACTATTCTTTATGGTGACCATCAGAGTGTGATACAGATTTCTTACAATGATGTTTTCCATGATCACATTAATCATATTAAGATTGACTGTCACTTTGTGCGACATCAT